CTCCTCCCAAGACCCCAAAATCATATCGTTGATCCAACTGCAACACGGAATTTAGTCACTAAATACATAAAGATAGACATATTTTAAAGAAATACCACGCAAGTCTTGCCTTAGTATGTTACTTGTAAAGGCTTTCACTATTAATTTATCCTTCTCTAGCAACTCCCGCAAAAACGTCAGCAAACTGCAAAGACTGCATGATCAATTTATAACAATAAAAAAACAGAATTTAACATTAAAATAGATGAATATCATACAAATACCTTAAACTCTTCAAGGAGAAAATAGGGGACCATTGTGAAGCAATGGACTCCATTTCATTGACAACATTGGGTTTGTCAATGGTGCATAACATCAGTCCCAGAAGTTTATCGAGAACAACGGTGTCAGATGACATAATCTCGCTTACGAGTCCAACCAAATAGGGGTAATCTGTTAGACATTGACAAGGACTTAAAACTGGGCAATACCATCATGCAAAACGTATGTTTTTTTCATGCGTATAACCCATAAGAAAGAGCAATAGGAGTGATAAAAAGCAAGTCGAAAAAATTGGATTACTTAATAAATAATAACTCACCATAAACCTTGAGACCTTTCTCAACCCTAACAGCTGAAGTAATCACAGTCAATAGTCGGCTTAAGTGAGCTGAATTTTTGTTTATGATTGCTTCTTTTGTTTCTTGATACAAGCAGTTCCACATAACACTTAATTCTTCTGCTTTATAATCCTCGCATATTCTTTGCAATGTTGAACTCATAACTTCTACTGTACTACCAGAACCTGAAAATAATATAACAGATCCAACCATGATGATCACAAGGAATTAAACATATTCTAAATTCAAGATTATACGATATACCAACTTCCCATTCTCTAAATTAATCACAAGCCACCTTAATAGAAATACATATGTATACTTAGAAAGAGGACTTGCCCTGAGAAGAATTATCACGAAAGGACAATGTTGAATCTTCAAGCAAGAACTTCAAAACCTTCCTAGCTTTGGAATGGAGACTCATAGAGGTACCCCTCATAACATGATATAGTAGACTAACTCCTCCAACTTTTTTCGGTGGATCTGCAACTTCAGAAAGGATCCTCTTGATCCCTGTAATGTTCATGAGAGGATAATCAACTGGAATGTCCCTAACATAGAGAACATGGA